TGAGAAAAGCCGAGGGGGGTCTGGCTTCACAGCGGAGATGGAAGACACTGCGAATGTGTGCGTTTTTGTGCTTGCATAGTTTTGCATGCGAGTGTGTGAGAGAGAAAAAGACCCCCACACACACATACACATGCACTTCAGCCACACAGAACATACAGTCCCAGCAACATGAAATTCCAAGTAGATTTAATATGCACAGTTGCACAAATGGCATGACTCGGAAAGCTTCCATCCCTCCCTTTCTGAGGTGAAAAACCTCCTGTAAGTACTTGAACAATGGCATTTTGCTGGTTTAACATACCAGTTATGATTGAATAATACTTTCTCGTGAGTCTTTGATCTCAAAAAAGCAAGGCAAACCTAAATTTTGTACAGATTAAGGGTTGTTCAAAGCTGCAGAATGACGGCAGTTACTTTTTTTTTCATCCCCCTTTCCCTCTCCAACTTTTAAGTCGCCCGAGAGGAGAATCATTACACTTCAAAAGTACTGGCCTTCGCTGTAAGAGCCAATCATTAAATAAAAACTCAGGGAAGAAATACACCTAATTACGGGCAGACAAATGCACTTAATTCTCCTGTTTTTTTCCCCCTCCTCCTGTAGAGCTCAGAAATGCTTAAAAAATGCATGTCGTCAACCGTTTGGAGGATTAAAACTCGCAACAGCTCAAGCATTTTTCACTTTACGCGTCGAGGTTTCACCGGCTTGAAGAGGAGAGGGAAAAAAATGACGAAAGCTAATTCCACGGAGGACAGGAGTTGTAGTGGAGCGCGTGGTGGAGGCATTTAGAGAAGTGGCACAACCGCGAGCCTTTGCAACACAGACGGCGAGACTCGCTGCAATGTGGTATGGCCGACTCATCTCCTCATGCATTTATGAATTTACTACTGGTGTGTCATTATGGATCCATGCTGTCACAGAAAACAGCTAGAGAGTAGGAAGAAAGGATATAGGGTCCACAGGCGGGAGGTAGTCCACAAAATTAGGGTGATATTTTTAAACTCGTTTTGGTTTTCCGGCCTGAAAGTTTTTGTTTTTGGTCTACTCTCCCCAAATGTTTGGCCACAGCCGGAAGCTGTTTCCAGGTAAAAAAAAGTCTAAAAAACACTTGTACACTACTAAGAGAGTGAGCTGTGGCTAACATTGTGGAGAATTAAACTGCTAAGGAGACAAATATTTCCCCTTTAGGAGTTGGTGGAGAACAAAAATGAGCTAAAATGAGAGTGCATTTGGACCTACATTCATCAGGTGGCTGGAAACACCACACAAATGAATAAAAATGTGCTCAGCAACTGCTGGATGGGGAAAACGGTTCGCCAACAGGTTCACCGTATCAATTTAAAAGGGGAAAAGATATCATTGTTGTAGTCACAGCTTGTTTTTGTTACCCCGAGGCCAAAACATTCCTTATCACAGGTTTAAACATTCACAGTTAAAATATTTTTGTGAGTGTGAGAAAAGCTAAAAACTAAATTAGCTAAACAAATACAAGGCTAATGTATTCAGTGTTAGCATGGGTGAAGTGCAGGTTGTGCTAGCCTGCTGGGCCAGCTGTGCTGTAGGAACAGAAAACCAAGTGAAACATAAAGCTGTATCGTCACTGGGTAGCGATAGCATAACGTCAGCATACAGAATGAGCTCATCTTTAACAGCATGTTAGCTAAATAATGCCTTAAGTTGAACACACACATTTAAATGCTAATGTTAGTTAGAAACATCTTTTTAAAACATTGTAGACAGTTATATTTAAACAACTTGAACATTACACTTTCTGTGTGACTTTCAGTTACATTTATATTACTCCTTCACACCTGTCACCTGCTCACACTGACTCCCCTGGGGTTTGTAGTCTTCTCAAAAACTGGAACAGGAGTTGTAGCATCTCAAGCTATATTGCGTCCTGATTCAAACACCTCATTTGAAAGAGCTCTTTTTTTCCCCTCACCTGTGTGATTTTTTTAATTAATATCTGGCCAAACAAAGCCACTGCAAGTGTTCCTGAATTCTTAAAAAAAAAAAAACCATCTGAATATCACATTACTGATTTCATCCATGGACTATTAACCAGCTGAACTCCTAAAAGTTCCCTTAACCCATCACTCCTGTCCCACATGTTCATTTTCTTAAGATATTAGGCAATTTAATTACAGTTAAGAGCATTAAGGAGCAATTTTAAGTATAATTTGCAGTTCATGAACTGTTTTTGAAAATTACTCTTAATATAATTAACTTCCGTCATTAGGCCTAATCCCTGCAGGCTACAGAGGCAATGCTTCCTTTAAGAAATTACATACATGTAACGCTACATTCATTCCTTTTCAACAGGAAGGTTGGACTGCAAAGGTTTGCCTCCTCAATGGGGTAATTATCTATTTCCAGTGCGAGAGTACAAAACAGTGCTAAGTCCATTAACGTCTGGGAGTCTCTCTAGCATGAATAATCATAAACCAACCAAAAAAAGTAATTGGCCTGTTCAGAAGACAAAAATACACAGAGAGAAAGGACACATTTGAAGTTCATTTACTCGAGAATTTAGGGGAAAATGCCCAAAAAAGGAGGGCAAAGGGCAAGAAATCATGGATTTTTTATGACCACATTAACCCTGCATTGAATTGCACTGTCTGTTCATTCTCTGGTGAAGTATACCGCTTAATTAGAGCAGATATTTCCTTGTCGAAAATAGTGGGGGCCAACGTCTAATTAAATCAAGAGGACAGTGGCGTATTAGGGATGGGAACGCCCAGGCAGCCATCCACCATCGGCCATGATGCCTTCATAAAAAATGCATACCGCTCCCCGAGAAGAAAGCTCTAATTTACAAAAAAGGAAAGGAAGAGGTTGAAAATCCATTCAGGGCTGAGGGTCTCAGCGGGGTGAACCTCGCACCTTGACGGGTAAGTGATGGTTTGCTTAACGTCTCCTCTGATGAGGTTAAGGACGTGTCACTTTGTCTTTGGCCGAGCTTTAATCAGGCTCCAGCCGGCCTTCTGGCACGAGCCGCGGCTTCGCCGGCGCGTAACTGACCGGTGATTTAGAATGATATGATTACACCTACACCGGCATGCTGCGCTGTGGTGTGAATTAGGCCCCCCCACCCTCCTCTAGAAAATGTGTAATGAGCGATGTTCCCTGCACCCAGCTGGGGCCCCGCGGACTCAGCCATGAGCCGGCATCCTAATCAGCCGTCAGCCAAAAAAGCCGCTGTTGCCGGCGCATTAGAATCTGTGTTTGTGCATATCAAAAGATTTCCACAAACACATTGGCAAAACACATAATCACTTACCCCTCAGAGGGAGAGAAAGGGGAGGTTGGATGAACGATAGACAGACTGACATATTGTGTTGAAGGAAATCACTGTCGTCATGTGACAAGCAACTAGTTTTTATGTCTGTGTCATGCCAAACATCTGGCACATCCCACATGGGATTACAGAATGCCACCATTTTACAACACATACATCTTCCAGTAATACATATAAAAGCAAAAATAAATGACCATGTTATAAAGTACTACTATATTCTTTCAAATAACATTTGAAGTAATGAGTTTTCAACTTAACACTGTAAAGAACTGCTGCAAACCTACAATTTATCTTGATAAGGAGCTTTTTTTTGCTCATCTCCCAGGCTTTCTTCAGATAAACACCTAATCTACATGTTTCATATGTGAACAGCCAACTCAATCGAAGTGCATCGTCCATATTTACTAAATCAATATCTGTTTTTATCTCACCAAACACAGTATTGCACAGTTCCTGATACAATGGGCAGTAGAAACCAAACTAAACTCTTTTTCTATGCCAGTCAAACAGCCCATTGAACAAATCCATTTTTCTTCTTCCAGAGTGACACTTTCATCCATGATCTCAGCTGGGCACATAAGGCTCTTTGCTTTTTAGATAAATTATATACAACGTAATTCACACCATATTCATATTTTATCCTCCTGAATATACGCAGTTTTGGTTTAGTCCATATTGCATCAACCCATTGCTCTCCATACTGAGTAAACACAGATTGAACATACAGCTACCTCACCAAACCCATAGCTAAAGAACAATGTGCACACATCTTGTCATTTGTTTATCCTATATCAATATCTTTTCAGCCTAATATCTTCCATATCAAGTAACCATTTCCACAACTGAGCGATATATATTTTCCAGCAAGCCTCACATGGTTCCAACCCATGTCCCTACTAAAGCTAACTTTGGCGCATATTTGTGCACACCCAGAAAGTATCTAAGCCCCAAACCCCAGCAGAATTATTAACCCCAGTTTGGAAAAGTGTTTGAAAGGTCATATCATTCAGGTTTTTACCATTAGTCCTATTTAATTGAATGGCTCAGTGCTTCTCTGTGAGGAAAGTCAGACTGGACACACTGAAAGCCCAGAAATGATCAAAATAATATTGAAAACACAAAGTTTTGGCTGTGATGTTCCATCACCTCTGAGCTGAGAAAACACCAAAAATGACCACTGAGTTCTTTCACAGCAACTTCTCATTAACCAGACTAGAGCTACAGTGTGTTCAGTCTTCGCTCCAGCAGATACACTGTTTTCACCAGATATTAGCAGACTGCAAGGAGAGGGGACTGTTTAAAGGCTTCATTTCTCCATCCGTTCTATTCACCACTGTCCTAATAGACACAAATGGTTGGGGAACATTTGATTACAGCATTTACTCTGTGTCTGAGGTTGAGGCCAAGACTCCCAGAACAGACACACCATAAGCAAAATAAAGGAACAGGTGAAACAAATGAAATTTGAATCTGCAGCCTAACTGTGTAAATAAATTGAATAGGGCTCTTAAACAACTTCATGTAAGTTATCAATACAGTAATGTTCCTGAGGCTCATCAACTCCATGAAGGGCTTTAATGTTTTAAAGCTGCCATTTAACTTGTGGTTTGCCGATTATTTGACCTTTAAGGTTGTTTTTTAGTCATTTTTGTTGTTTTGATCAAAAAGCAGTTTGCATATAGACAGACTTTTGTCACCTACCTGTTGTGTTTTGGTGGTGTGTGTCAGCCTCCCTTTCTGCCAGCTGGGACCCGATTCATCACCACTCACTTGCTCTCCTTCTGCAGAGAGATTCTGCACTTCACTGTATATCCTCAGCACTGATCAACTGACAAAGGGCAAAAAAAGAAAGAAAAGACCTCCATTAATGCGTAGAGAAGTCCAAAGTGTCGACTTCACAACATGCAGACATGTTGTGTTTTGAGCCTGAAACATATTCACACCTGAATGAAGAAATCCCTGATTGTTCAGCTGCTTAACGAGCTGGGTTGATGACAGAAGTTGCAGTTTCAAATCCAATTTTACTCTTAATAAAATCACTTCCTGGCCTTCAACAGTCATTTTATACCCTACACAACAGAAGGGGGAGATGCTGGAGCAACTGGGATCATTGAATTTCTCTTAAATGGCCGTCTATCATGACACATTTATTATGATACTGGGATAAAAACAACAGAGAAACCTATTTGAACACAGCATCTATCGAGGCTACAGTCTCAGCACTAAAACTCTCCTTCTGGACAATACTTACATGTTCCTGTCAGTGATTGTGTGCTCTTTATACTCACAGCAGCAGAGTTTTCCACTAGATTCAACAGGGAGGATGTCGGCGGATGTTTCTCTCACTGATCATGTTGACAAACTGGACTGCATTTGAAAAAACTTTATTTAAATGATCATTTACTATAAAGTGTCAGCCAACAGGGGGCTCATCAACAGGAACTGTGTGCATGGCCTGTTGGCTTTTGGATCAAACAAAATGTCCACAGTGCTTCAAAAAGTGCCTCATTTATACTAAAACTCAAACTTACCTACATTAAATGAATGCATATGTATTGTGTGTCACTCTTGTGACCTAAAAATGTTTCCTTGAGTAGATTTTTACTGTAGCAGAGAAGCTTTTTCCCTATTTATGTCCCTTCCCCAGATCTCTGCAGGAGCCTGGTTTACCATTGCCATACCATGACTCTGCTGTGCCAAACGTGGTGTTTCAGTGGGATCGAGAGCATAAAACCATAAATGCAAATTAATAAAATTCCGCGCAGGGGGTCTTTGCAGAGCTGTCCAACATCACCACGGTGCACCAAACCCCCTCTGATGGTGAGAGCATTGTTGTCTTTGTGACGCTCTGCAGCTGCTGTATTCACTGGAAGAGGCAGCGATGGCACTCTGTCCCCTCAGACTCACACTGTCACCTCCAGTTCACATGCCAGTCTGAGGAAAATATACATGTAATCGCTCAGAATGTATAGATTTATGTTTAAAAGCTGATGGTTTCTGTGTGGGGTTCATGTGATGATCCTGATAGGAAGGAAATCAGTACAGATTGCAGAGAGCCCCATTCTCTCTGCATTCTGGGAAATGTAGAAAATCACTAACTGAGGCTGAAATCTTTGTGTGATTTCTTCCTCGCTTTTACCTTTCACACCTTCAATTCATTACTTTTTTTCTCTTATACTTTGTGAAGCATTTTGGATCTGTTTCAGGAAATGGCACACAAATAAAGACTGAGATTCTTTTTTCAAGACATGGGTAGCTCACTTAAGAGAAAACAGAGATATTCTTGTGTCCCTGGAATATTTATGCATAATAATGCTGGGTGAAGCAATAAGTGCCAGGCAGGGGAAAAAAAAAAGACACAGAGTCCAAAAGTAATGCAGTAACGTCCACACATTAGGCGAGGATGAGTTTCTTTTATCGCCATCTTCTTCTTCTTCCTCTCCTTTTTTTCCCTCCTCTGTAGCACCGCTGGCACCGGGCTGCACCACCTGCTCCGGGGCTCTTTTCGCTCCGGCCAGAATGAACAGCTGGCTTCTCTTCTGACGCTCTGATTGGCTAATCCCTGCTGGTCACTTGCGCTTTTCCTCCCTGCATGTCATTGAACTTTCTCTCGCCGAATGCCAGGTCCGAGGAGTGCTCCCTCTCCCTCTCTCGTCTTTGCCCAGGCCCGTCCTTCATGTGCCCTGCGAATGATCCGGGTGGCATATGGGGATATGTAAATAATTTAATGAGGTCAAAAGTGTGAGAGTCTCCTCTACTTTCCCCTCATCCAAACCCTCCTTCCATGGTATCAATTGATAATAAAAGAATGCTCATACTAGCAGAATATAGGTCCAGTGTAGACCTCTGATATGTCAGAGGCTGCTTCCTGAGTTTAGTAGTCAGTGTTTGGGGATTATTTGGTTGTAATTAGCTTGGCTTGGCATTAAGACTGGAAACAGATGAAAATAGCTAGGTTTGCTCTGTCCACAGTTCGAAAATACACCTAATAACACAATTTAAACAAATATTTGAAAGAAGTATTTGTTTTTTTAACCTATTAAGAGATTTTTTTTTCACAGCAAGGTTGCCAGGTTTGGTACCATACAGATACTAAAACCAAAAACTGTGCTCAGTGACTGTATTTGGCAACCAGCTCTAGGGGGGGCTCTGCACAGAAGAGCTGGGCAGATAGATAAACTGCTGTTTATCAAATCAAATGATTTGGATTTAGCACTGGGAGGAGTTTTGTTTCAGTTATGTGACATCTGGCTACAATATGTTTCAAAATGCCACCTGTATTGGTGAAGGAAATTAGATTTTTTTTTATGACATTTTAACAAGGAGGTTCTGGAGTTTGAACCTGAACTCAGAAATACAATCTGATGGAGTCCTCAGGATTTAGAGAGAGACTCAGCAGGACATCAAGAAAAGAAAAGAGGAAGTGGGCCAGAAAAACCCCACCTGAAACTGGCAAATAACATTCAACATCACTCTGATCACAAACCGTTGTAATGGGGCTTAGCTGTCATCACATGTCCTGAATATGGAACAAAGGATTATGTGTTAACAGGTGATAATATATGTTCCCATGACAACTGCCATCTGTTGAGAAAGACCATAAATGCAGTTGAATGCATGGTAAGTGACCATAATGACAACAAGGACCCTGGACAGCTCCGGGATTTTTTTGGTCATGTTTTACTCCCAGAATCCTCTTGGGTAGCATGGGTAAAGTGAAAAAACTAAATGGGGATCCAAATATATAAACAAATAGTATAGTAAAAGCTCCTAATGGCAGCGCCATGGCAACGCAAATGGCAAAAATCCTGTAAAGTGACAACCTTGTCAATCTGTGATGGGAATGGAGTTCCAAATATCTTCTCCCATAGTCACTCACTCTTTTTATTTCAGGGACTGATCTGTTCTCCAGTGCAGCTCCAACTGACTTCAACATGGAAAAAATACACTTCAAATCCTCAGTCGCAACCAAACCTCAGACCTAATTTCATTCACTGGCCTCCGACGTGTTCTGTCATGCTCTATCGCTCTTATTTTGTGCATTAAAGCGTGATCTTTTTTTCCCTTATGTCTTCATTTTGCTGCTGATGTTCCATGCTCTGCCTCTCTTTTTCCATATTGTAACCCTCCTGTTTCTTAAAGCACATTTACGTGCTGGTTTTGTATTTTTAAAGTGCTGTGTAAAGAAAGTTGACTTGGCAACAGAGAGCCGCTGCGCCTTCTCCGCTGCCAGTGTGTGGAAAACTGCAAGCAATGCAGGTAAAGATTGAAGACGAAGACAGAGGAGTGTTTTCAATGCAAACGAGTCGATTTTACTACTAAGTGTATCTGTGGAGGCAGCCGAGTAGCCTGAGGCAAAATGTACACTTAGCTTTGGTCTATACAAGGCCCAGCAGTGAATCATTAGAGCTCAGCTGTCCAAAATACACCACCAATCTGGCCCAGGCATATGGCTGCATGACACTCGTATGAATTACTACTACATGCTCGTGTTGTTGTTTTTCCTCCCTTTTAAATGTTCTATGAGCCGGGCAACACTCCCAACACCGTTTTACATCAGAGCAGATCAAAATCACGGCACTCACGCCTGAGAAAAGACAAAACAGGTCTGCTTTCTGAACAGTTTCACTCAGGAAAGAGGTCTAATCAGGTTTAAATATTTTAAACGTCTGTTTGAGAAATGTAACACGTCATAAAGTGAATATTCGCTTTGCGCAAAGATCATACTGATTACATTTCTGAAAGGTTTTAAGATCTAAATTGCTTCTTAAGGTCCAGTGTGAAACAATAAGGAGGAACTATTTTGGCAGAAATTGAATATATATATATATATGATATTCATAGGTATGTTCATTAGTGTATAATCACCTGAAAATAAGAATCTGTGTGTGTTGTTGTGTTGTTGTTGTGTTTGTTACCTTAGAAGTAGCTGTTTTATCCACAGACAGCGCAGGTAACCTTCCATGGAGCCCGCCATGTTGAACCAAATATTTTTTGTGTGTTTCGCGGCCACCGTAGTTTCTCCTACATTTTTTGTGAATGTCTTTAAAGAAGCTGAAGCTTTGATTTTGGTTCAAAGAACAATAACGTGAGGACTAGAAAGTTGAAAAACTGACACTAGATCAGTTTTCAGTATCTGATGTCTGATGGTGTTTATGGAGAAACAGTTCATTTCTGACTGTCTGCATGCATTTCAAAATTACACAAGGAGCGATGCTTCAGTCAAAACATGTTCATTTAAAAAAATAAAATAACTAAATAAACAGAAAATCAATTCAGGGCTCCATCATGCGGCCTGATTGCAATTAAAAGCCGTCTTCCTTTGAGCCTGGGCTAATAGTCAGAGACGGTATTGATCAGTAAATGTAAGACTAGACTGGATTAACATCAAGATCAGGCAATATTCAAAGAGAGACAACTTGAATTCATACAGGCAACAAAGAAGTAGAATAGAGTTATTCTGTCTAATCTTAAATAACCTTTAAACTTTTGTCAAATTTGCACGACAAAAAAACATTTGAGAAAAATTTGGTTCTTTCTTTCACCCTTTTCCTCCAGTTTCTCCCTCTACATGATCTAATAAATGTCATTTTTTCCTCTGTTTCCTAATTCAGTAATTCCCTTACTGCCTCTGACTGCTCTAAGGTTGCAGGAATATTTCATCACATCCGTTTTGACCTTTGACCTTCCGATTCGTTGCTTGTGAAGTCGGAAACTGGTGAATTTAAGCTTTTATGCAAGTCTAATAGATGTAAAATGTAAAAGTAGAGCACGGTTGAAATTTCTCTCTTCGTGATAGCGATATCCTCCAGAGGATTCCCTCCTTGCTCGTCTTGACACGTGCGCTCATTTTTCGCATGTGTAATTGTTGAGGCAGTTCACAGCACATTATCAAATTCATCAGCTAATCATTTAAGACCCCCTCTTTTATCTGCGGGATGGTCTGCGAATGATCCGATGGCGTGCCGATCGATAGGAAAATCGGAATATGCAAAGCGCGTTCTGATGTTTGGCATCGCTCAACCTTTAGCGCTTTCATCTCGGCCTTTTGATGTTGCTTTTAATCTGCATAACGCAGTGCGAGTGGCTAATGGAGTCGAGCATCTCCTTCAGTGGAGAGGACTCCTCTGCTGGAGTCCACCTGTCAGGGCTGAATAAAGTTTCCAGATGAGATTTGAAAGAGAAGAAGTCTTCTTAAAGGCTGCAGGAATGAATAGATTCTGTGTCGGTCAGTGAGCAAAGCATGAAAGTACTGACATTCCTAGGGGTTCATTACTGATTCATCTGTTAGATTTGTATCTGATTTTATTTTTGAATTTTATTTTTCATTTGGTCTATAAAATGTCAGAAAAGAGTGAAAAGAGTCCAACGTGATGCATTCAAATGTTTTTTTGTGTGTAACTAACAGTTCAAAACCCAAAGATATTCAGTTTAAAATGATATAAAACATTGAAAAGCACTAAATCTTCACATTTTGCATTTAGCTTCATACATGAATCATGAAAACTGTTGTCGATCAATTATCTGTCAGTTGGCTAAGGGGTTGATTGACTTAGCATCAATTCCCCCCACAATATACACATATGAACTCAAGGTGCTTTAATTAAAGCTTCTACAGAATGCCATATGTTGTCATAATTGAGGTTAACAGCTGTTTGATTAAAGAATAAAGTGACATTTCCATAAATAAAAATCAGAAAACAATGTAAAAGTATTTCAGGGCTGAATCCCTTCTGCTGAAATCTCTTTTTTTTAAACTGAATATTTGGACAAAGCTGATCATAAAAATACTCAAACATAACTCTTTAAAACTGGGTGACAAATATATAATTTCATTTTTAAAAGAGGCTCAGGCATTTATTTAAACAGCTGGCTACTGTAGTTTTTAACAAAAACAACAAACTTAAAAAAAAAAAGATTTTTGGGGACTATTTTCAATGTCGGATTAACACACATTCTAGTCAGTATTTATGGTGGCAGGATGGTGTGTAATTGTGGTGCAACAGGTTAAAAAGTGTAGTACAAATACAGGTGAAAATATGTGGGATATGTTTGGTTTTACTTACTTTACTATCATCTGGATGAGATATAATAAGCAGTGAGGCCGGGGTCAGCTCACTTTGATCCATTTAAAAAATGTGAATTGAAACTGTATGCAATTAATGTAATAATGAGAAGCAGATACTTTGTATAAACTGGATATGAGAAGAGAAAGATTTCCAGTTTTTCTTGCTTTGGAGAGAATTTAAAATGACTTGAGGCCGGCGCTGCCAAGCAAACCTCACAGTTTGTTCTCTGTGAATAAACATGAAGCGCTGAGGGTTTCGTACTCTGTAATTTGGCTACTTTTATTCGAGCAGGGTCATTTTCAAGAGAAATTACAAATTAAGAATTCAATAATACTTTTACAAAGACATTTCAGGAAAGATTCTTCTTCAGTCATGATATCATACATAGTATTTAACAGTCCCTCTTCATTTTTTTTAGCTTAAAAAAAGAAACAAAGATGAAGAAAGTGGAATTTTTTCAGTCGAAAATACAGTGTTTTCACAATTGTATAAAAGTTCCCAAATTTGGAATTTTCCAGTAACTGGAAAATAAAGGAAATAAAATAAAATAAGATTAAACTTCGCATTTCACAATGTTTCAAAACACAATAAATGCTCTCTTTACGTAAAATTTGCCCCTATGATCGACACCATGTTCCTTTTTACTAAAATATATCTATATATTGAAGAACTATAGTACTGTACACAACAGTATGAAATAAATAAAATTAGGAAATATAAAATGGGCCACATAAATAATGTTTTTTTTTTTCAACCTACAAATAAAATGAATGCAATTTGTTGTTTCCAAAAAAAAAATGGTTTGGTGTAATACTGACAAAGTTCAAAGAAAAGAAACTGAGAAAACATTGCACAACATAATGTAAACTAAGGAACTGTTGCCTATAAGTCTTAATACTGACACGGATGCTTCAAAGAACAACGGTGAACCATTTAATAATACTGAAGCTGGTGAAAAAAATTAACCTTCCTTTTACACAATACGAGGGTGGCACTTGCAGAAAACACACAGGTTAAAAGGTTTGCATATAAGGCTTCTTTTTTCTTATCAAAAACACCTTACAAAGGCTTCGTCCTTCATTTTTTTCCCCCATACCATCTGTCCATAAACTGTATTTTCCCTTAAAATGAAGGTCTCTTTAAAACTTCATCCTCTTAAAAAACCTTTACAGTCTTTTGTTTAAATTCCTTCATGTGAAGTTGATTCAAGAGGCCTAAAATAGTGTGGCTGGAGATGTTTGTGGCCGGGCAACATGGCAAAACTAAAGACGACACCATAGGTAGGTAGGTGATAACAAAGGTAATATCGAAGGACTGTAGTGCAGACACTACTGCTCTTTTTCCAACACTGTATAAATATATACATAGGCAATACTTTTTATTATTTTTGTTCATGATTATAGAAGCGGAGTGCAATTTGTACAAGTCACTAGTTGTGCTATAAATACTATGGAACACAGGGGGTTTATTTGAGGAGGTTAGCACCACACATATTTTTAGGCCTTAGTACTGTACATTTTTTGAAATGTATTCATTTATTCATTGTTCGGTTTGCATAATGCAGCTTATTTCACAAACCCATGCCTCCCTTCCCTCAACGCCTCCTCCAGATTGATTTTTGAGTCCATGTCTTGTTCGGCAGACATCTTTCCCCCCGAGGAGTCTGTCGAAGAAAGATTCCCGGAAGCTTCAGGCACGTGCACGTACAGCTTAAAACACGGTGTTTTAAACCGAGCAGGTAAGAATACTGAACCGAAAGAGAGAAACTTAAAACTCTTAAGATGGGAAGCTTTTGAAACGCCGTCGCCGATTACATGCCATCCTCCATCGTGTCCTCGTGATCCGATTTGGTTTCCGTTTTGCCGTCCAGCGAGCTATCGTCCATCGAGTGCTCTCCGTTCTCCTCCTCGTCCCTCAACGTGTCCGGGTCCGTGTCCATGCTCTTGCTCTCCTCCTCCTCCTCCTCAAACTCGTCGTCCCTCCGTCCGATCTTCGCATACGTTCCGTCCACTTCCTTCCGTCCTTCTCTGATCCCTCCGTTCACGGCGTCGTGCCTCAGGATGGCCTCGCGCTCCGCCAGCTCTGGGTAACCCTGAGGAGTCATGCCCTGCAAGTACGCCCGGCTCATCAACAGCTCCGTGGGCTCCAGGTGGCCCTTCTCACGGGCCTCCCTCTCAGCGGCCTCCCGCTCCTCGGCCTCCCGCTTGCAGTAGGAGTAGCGGTGGTTCATGTGCTGCGAGTAGGAGCCCGAGTGGGAGAACCTCTTCCCGCACTTATCGCACTGGTAAGGCTTCTCCCCCGAGTGCAGTCTGGAGTGCTCGATGAGATGGTGTTTGTGTTTGAAGGCTTTCTTGCAGATCTGGCACTGGTGCGGCCTCTTGCCTGCGGAGACACAAAACACAGAAGGAGGGGAGGTGAGTCGCCTGCCTTGCTTGTCCTGCTGCTACAACAAATCACACAAGTCAGAAGAAAGCAAAACGTTGAGGAAAAACTCTGATGAATTGGATGGCATGGAGTAAAATGACATCACGGAGCATTAAATCCAACTTTGTCATATGACTTAGGGCTATTTGTTTATTCAGATTGCGAGCACGATGAGAAAGTGCGCTCGCATTCATGGGCCTACATTATGGAAATTCCCTCCCGTGGTTAAAGCATGGAGAAACTCAACCACAACTACTTATTTTAGCCTGCGTGCCACACTGATGAATGCAACATAAATAAACTACTGCAAAGCAAACAAACAGAGAAGGCGCGACAAAGGAGTAAACAAATCCGAGATGGGCTGGGGGGGAAGGGGGAGGCTCCGAGGGGTTACTCTGCTTATCTCTGAACACAATTCAAGTTCATGGTGACGCCTGGCCCTACATTAGGTTTTGGGCTGGGGCTCCTCCGTCTACCAAATGTGACGGGACGCTTTGGATGCCAAGGCAGAAATGAGAAACCCAAGCTGGCCACAAGGGCAGGGTGAGATAGTTTTATGACACGGGGCCATAAACTGTCTGGCTAAATAAATGTCCTCCGGCTTGTAATGTGGCCACACGGCTGCTGTTACACTTAGAGTTTATTCCAAAACACTTACTGCTCACCAGCCTAAAGTTCTTCCCTCAGGATTCCTAAAGTTACCTGTATCGTTCTAAAAGCTACGACTAATAACTTTCCAAACATCTAATTTTGGCTTGAAATGCGTCTTTTTCTCATCAATTGCTGCTCAGCCTGTGTGGAAATATGGCTGTCTGACACAAATCACATGACTCCCCTCTGACACGCGAGTCCCCCAGCCAACAGGCTTTCAAAGTGCACTTCTGTCCAACATCTGGCCAGTTCAACTGCACTTTACTGCACTTCTGAGCCTCATAATATTATTTAAAAACAACACATAGCGACGTGAACATGAAAGCGTCGCGTCCTGAGCAAGATGCAGGGGCGTTCTGGAGATAACGCACCCTTTCTGAAAGAGTTCAGCGCACTGTTCTGACGGTGCACCCTCCCTCCCTTTTATGTCCGACCAGATAACATGAAGGCTGCATAAAGCACTGAGCGCTCTGCTACAGATAGTGGATAAAATAAATGATGCAACCTAGTGAAAGAGGATCTCTGTATAATAACTATAATGAAAGACTTGTTATCAGTTCTCTGAAGCTTCTGAGTCCTACTCCGCTGATGTGATCTATCGCCAATAATGGGGCCGATAAACGCATTAGGGGCCTTTTGCTGGCTTTATATATCTAGGTGAATTGATGTGTGTCTTTTAAGATAGCAAAATGGTTAATACAGCAGGATATGATTGGAAAATAAAGAGCACAATCACTTGAAAAGATAGCTGAAGTCTCCCTTTGCTTGCCTACCTGCATTAATTACAGATTATGCTTTTCCAAAAGAGCCACATTGTTTAAAATCTCAAAGAACTCTTAATATTTTAGAAAAGAACACACAAATCACAAAGTCAAACTTTCTTATTCGTTGGCATATTCCTGTCAATGAAGAAGCAAGTTAGGTGTTTACAGATACAACTTAAAGGTTAAACAGAGAAGGAAAGAAAGAGAAAAGGGGTAACATAAAATATATATATTCATACTGATAGGATTTGGAAACACAAACATTTAAAACATAAAAAAGCATGGGGTTTAAAATAAGGGTCTAGAACAGTATATACCTGTGTGTTCATATTTGTGTCTTAGAAGGGAACTGCTCTTCTGGAATGTTTTGTCGCACAAGTCACACGCGTACATACCACTTTCGGTCTTCTTAATCTTCTTCCGCGACAGACAGGAGTCGGGGTCTGTCATGTCGTCCAGCCCTGACATGTAATCTGGTGTACCGTCGAGCAGGTCCCCCTTACATAACAGAAACAAAAAAAAAGAGAGAAAAGAAACAATAATAATGAATTTGGGGTGATAAAGGGGTTGCAGTGTATTTATTTATTGTGAGAAAAAGTTAGTCGGCCAGCTAGTCAGTTACTTTTGGAGTCATTTGAAGAAGAGCTGCTGAGCTGCTGAGCAATGGTCGCTAACACGGCCAAAATCATGCCTAGGCTGTTTGACTGAAAGTGGAATTTTGGGAATGAAGTCCAAAAACACAGCAGCTCAGAGATTCAGAGTTGAGAAAAAAAAAGACTTCCATTTAGGAGTTGGAGTTTTAGCTTAAGCTAGCCTGATGTTGCTGTATGATGTAAATTCTTTACTGTTTTAGATAGATTAACTAAACTACATAATCTCTTGATATAAGGTCTTCATACAATAAGGCTATTAGTAGCTGGTAAGAAGAGAGTGTTCATGTGCTAATTGCTAAACACCAAACACTAACTCAAACTCAAGAAGTTTAAGACATATTTTTCAGAATAAATGTCATTTTACTGCAATTGAATGATATGTAAATATTGTTTTTTATTAAAATAAGAGTTACTTTACATTAAAAGATCTGTAGCACTTTGTCACTAGATAAAGCAGTAAACCGAACTGTACCGCCCAAACAATCACACTATGCTACATGTTCTTATATATTTTTTATTACCAGCGCATACCAGCGTTGATTTCTTATAAAATTTTTAGCTCTGGAGTAATATCACCCATCTATAACTGACATGCTCCCCATTATGAAACTCAGCCTTAATGGTGTATTCAGTGTGGTCTAATTTTGTACAGGAGTGTTAATTCTGCACATTCCTTTAAAATTCTCTTTTATGATGAAGATTAGTCTTAAACGTGAATTGACGGAGAACAATATTACAACATTAGAGAGAGGCATGGCGAACCATTCTTGAAATTGCAAACTCATATAATGATTAAAATCAGAAGGTGCACCTTAATGGCCAATATTGAGCCACCAAAGCTTTCTTTAATGAATATGTGTGTGATAATGTGAGGACAGCTCTGCACTGTGTTTTAAGAAGGGACCACTATCACTCTGCAATCAATTTGAACTAAACGCCTGTAGCTGTATTTTTAAAATCTAATTTAATAACTTAGAATAGGAAACATTATTAATACTTTTTTTCATCAAAATGGTTCCCTCTATGTTAAACAGCCTTCAGCATTCAGTGGTAATGAACATGGAGACTGTGCATTATTAATCCACATGTAGAAGCTCATTTTGGTTGGCTCTCTTTAAAATGCAGCAAAGTTGCAATGGGAAATTTCAGAGAAGTGCACAGCTCCGGGGCTCACCTTTGTCATTTTTACAAAGGCCTTTCACCCATATTTAATAACAAAATATCCGAGTTCAGGCCAGCGCTGGAAGACGACTCGAGTCAGGAGCATTAATGTATTCCACCCACAGCAGAGGGTAAAATTTACAGTGGAGTGGTAACAATTATAGCTTTACTGAGATGAGATTTTAGGGCCAATATCGTTCCTGTTATTTATTTGAACTTGATACTGGTTGATGTTTTTTAATACCTAAATTGGACCTATTTCAGGGTAAAAATGAAAACATTCAAATCTACAGATATTTGCGGTTAATGTTTTGAATGGAAGTCTATTATTGGACAATTATTAAAATCTACTAATCAAACTCTACTAAGGATTAGAGGCTCATTATGTTAGGAGGCAGGTTTCATTAAAGCTTTCACAATCTGACAGCTGTAAAAAAAAAAATACAAATAGGACTGCAACTAATTCTTGATTGTTTATCCAATGAAATGTCAGAAAGTAGCTTCCAGAGTCAAATGTTGCATCTTCAAACTGTCCATTTTTTCCAACAAACAGTCAAAAACAAAGAGATATTTCATGTACAATAATATAAATCAGAAAAATAGCAACTTTTGAGAAGCTGGAATGAGTTAAAAAAAACATTAAAGCTGTTGAATAAAATTGGTGCATCCCTTTTTTTATGGACTTATATTAGTTTAATTATCATTCCTGATATATCTATCTGGCTCTGTAAACATCTTAACCTCTAAAATACACTCTTGCCTTCATGACTTTCACTAAATATGCCCCTTTTTTCCACCCCGTGGGTCGTGTCACAGCTGTTTATCTCCATCGCCTCTGCCATTTCAGTCTACCTCAGGTGAGCGTTTCTCTCTCCTGAGTCTGAAGTCGTTTTTTAATTAGTACAGAAATGAGTTCAGATCATTTTAGGGAATCTGAGTGAGCCTGGGGCTTTTACAAAACCACAGGTGGCTTATTTACCTGGAAACCTGGTTTCCGCTGGTACTTTCTCCTCTGCTGCATCTCGGCAAAGGTAGCTGCCCCTGCTGCGTAAGTGTAGGCCATGTGTGGTAGAAAGCCCATTTGATCCATGCCCGGATAGGGCCTAAGACCTGGTATGCTGGCCTGCATCGGGGGCATGAATGTGGCAGGTGGAAAAGCGCTCTGAGGTGGAAGTGATGTGTACAGGGGTTTGGCAGCAAACGGGTTAATGCCAAAGATGGGGCTAGTGCTTTTTTCAAGGCTTCCATTGTTGGTAGAGCCGGAGAATTCCTTCTTGAGATAGGCCAAGTTCAAAGGCTCTTCGAAGTGCTCTCGAGGAGAGGGGACGTTGTTATGGTCGATGGTAATGCTGTTGACTTTAGGTCTGCTTTTGACAGTCAGTGCATGCTTGGGTTCCTTCATTAGTCTTGGCAGAGAGAGGTCCAGCGGCTCAGCCTGCAGGTCTTCTGAAGTCAAGCTGTTTGGAGTGTAGGAGCTGCTGTGAGAGTTTTTGGAAGATGTAGAGGACAGATTTAGCGGGGAAGGGGTGTTGCTGCGGGAGTGGTCCAATTTTTCACCTGTGGGTTTGGCGCTGCCGCTGAACTGGTGGTTTTTCAAATGTCTGAGTGAGTTGTCACAGTTGTTAACGTTGTTATGCAGCTCTGCTATGGAGGGGGATGTAATGCGGTCAGTAGGTTTGATTAGAGACACAGGTGACCTAGCTGCCATAGAGTCTTTTGGTGGAGTGTGGTGGTTATTTGTTCCGAGAACCATATCAGAGTTGTTCCTGTGCTCTAGTGGTGGGGTTCTAGTAGTGCCGTACTGGTACATCTTTCGCTGCTCGAACCACTCCTTGACAAATTCCTGAGGAAGGCCAACCGCTATGGAAATCTTGAGCAGCTCCTCCGAGTTGGGCTCCATGTTCATGGCAAAATATGCCTTCAGCACAGACATGTGGTCCCTGTAAGGGTTAAGGGGCCCAGTGAGTCCCTTCTCAGATAACATGGAGGAGGATAAGTGGGTGTTCTTCTCCATGAATATACCTGGTTTGTTGGGCATCAAATTCTCACTGGGCTGCAGCACGGCCTTGATCTCCTCGTTCATTTTACACAGGTAGCGTTCATGCTGATGCAAAGGTATTGGCCCGGGGAAGGTTTCTTTGCAATATTGGCAAGCATAAGGTGTAAACATGTTATTTTCCTGCACCTTCTCATCCACACCTCCTTCAAGCAGGTGGTTGGATTTCTCTCGTTTGATATTGCTAATCTGTCTCTTTGAGTCTGTTGTCAAGCTCTGGAGGCAGGCTTTGGCTTCGTTCACTTTTTCTAACGTGTAATCGATGATACTTTTGGTGGCGCCATTGTGATTGACAAGTGGAAGACCAACCTGAGCTCCCGCTTGTGTCAGCACCTGTTTCTGCTCTTCAACCTGGGACCCCAGCTCCTTCATGTAGGCCTTGAGCTTGGAGAGCTCCTCTGGCTTGCAGTCCATTTTCTGCCTGCACACAGTGTTGTCCACGATCTGGAGAACCTTCTGCACCTCGCTCAGGTTGTTCCCCAGTGGCCCTGGGTAGCACAAGAGCTGTGACTCAAGCCCGGCCATTCCGAGGTGCTGCAAGGGGCTCTGGGCTGTCGAGCTGTGGTGGACCCCCAGTGGACTGTTCCCTCCCATGCCTCCATTCATGAACGGCCCAGGAGCACCGAATCCATGAGATGCCATCATCAGCTTGTAGTCGTTGAAGTCAAGCGGCTCTGTCTTGATGTTCAGGTGGTTGTTGTGTTCGGGGAGGCCAAGTGGCTTGCCGTTCTCCAGCTTCTGCCGCAGCTGGGTGATGGCAGTGTTGGTGGGCGAGGAGGAAGCAGAGGTGGGGGAGGAGCCAGTCTTCATGTTGCCGCGCATCCTGCCATTGACAGCAATCAGGCCAATGCACTTTTTGCTGCTTATGTGGGAACTGTAGGAGCCTGAGTGCGAGAAGCGCTTCTTGCAGTTGGGACACTCATATGGTTTCTCACCTGAAACAAAAAATATATAGCGTAAGATGGCTGATACGAGAATGACAGAGTGATATGAACAATAGCATCAAATTAGTAGCTTGATTTTGATTTTGTTTACATTTAGGAGACATTGCACATTAAAGTTTTGTACAGAAAAGTAGTATAATAAACAATACAAGGACATAAATCAAGCGGGGAAAAAAACTTAATTCATTACGCAATGGGTGAAAATGAGCCTTTTGAGCCAACTTTGCCTTATTTTTTTTTCTGTTGGTCAGTGGACATTGTCCCTAACATATAAATTAATAAATAAAATGAAATTCGCTGATATGCTTCACACACATACACATTTCTAAGCAAATATTGTACTTGGCAACTGTACTGATTCCTAACACAGCAGAGTTCAATGTCCATCAACAGCAGGGAGGGTCAAAAATAAACTGAAAGGAATTTCTACACATTCATGGTGTTCTTAAATCATGGTTATGAATATTCAAAGAGCAGGGCAGCATTCCTCCGGCTACTCACCACTATGAATCCGGAGGTGTTCCTTCAGATGGTGCTTGTATTTGAAGGCCTTGCCACACTCGGTGCATTTAAACTTGCGGTTGCCGGCCGCTTGGTTGAGCAGTTGGTGCTGTGAGAGAGGGAGAGAAAAGAGAAAGAGAGAGAGAAACGTTGAAAAAAATGCACAAACATCAGTGGGGGTGAGAGTTCAGTAAATAATCACAATTGGTCGGCATGACAACAAGCAACAAGCCAAACGGCTCCTGTCGCCAATGAAGCATCTTGGCTTTCTACTCCCACCTCCGTTGAGCGACTACAGGCAGCGGCGGCGATAACAGAGAGAATCACATACCTTTTAATTTCCTGGCTCCTCAGCCAAAGGAGGCATGCCTTTAGAATTTGGCAGCCCAGAAAATAGAATAAATGAAAAGAGGTTTTTTTTAGAGCGTTTCCCCTTCATTAGAACCGCCGATCTGATCTACTTTTCATTAATTTGGGCCTAATCAGTCTGAAAGGTATTCAGAATCATCTGTGAGCTCTTTCACCCTGCATACCTGTATTCACACCATTTGAATTACACTTTGTAGTTTGTCAGAACAGTTTCAAATGTCTCATAGTAATTGGGTCTTTTTTTTAAATCTTTGAATGTCTCTTTAATAATCTTAGGATACAGAACAGAGCGTATAGGCCGAGCCTTGATTCGCTGTTCAAAGGTAAACATCAGTTGCAATCCATCAAATTTGCAATTCAAACAAGGCCTGTTCTTTGAAAAGAAAAAAAATGAAAATATAATACCACCGACAACAACAACACTGGGTGTGTAAACCTGGCTCGTCACTCACGAAACAATTAATTCCAATTGGGAACTGAGGACGTTAAATGGTTAGTAAATAAAAAAAGACACATTTTCTGTGAGCTAGGGGGAAAAACACAGCGACTCCCTCCTCCCAGTTCAGCCTTGACAAATGCTGGGGTGTGTGCTGACTCTACCCACATTCCTGGGGAGACAGATGGTGGCGCACAGGACACTGGGAGGACTGGGAGGAATTGTTCAAACAGCCCCAACCTTCAAAGATCAAGCAGGGAGAGTCGGGGGCCCCGCCAAGCGCCGGCGAGGGACCCCACCGCTCGTATGTTGCTGAGTTGCATAAACAAACAGCAACAGCTGCTTCGTTGCCTCCGCCCCCACCTCCACCACCACCATCCCCTTACTTCCCCCTTGAGGACCCCTGCCCGGTAAAGTTTAGTCTCGCCACCACTGCTAATAAGGCACAATTGCTCGGCGCTCTTAATTGTGAATGGCACCGGCAAAATGCTCCATCTCTCCTCTATGGCTCGTTGTCGGTGTGAACACCACCACTGCTGATTGTGGGCGGGGACCTGACTGGATGTTTGCATATGTATAACCTCTAATTAGTCATATTTCGGCTAATTGCTTAAGAGGAGGAGGAGTATTAAGGCTTGTAAACATACGAGACAGAACAGCAGGGCACATGTTTACCTATCAGGACATTATTCTTTATGTTAATCTGATTGCTCCTGAGTCTTCCTGAGTTCGTTGTTAATTGCCAAATGTACATTTTCACATGAATACATGTTCAGTCTGTCACGTCGAAGAGGAAGTGACATATTTTACGTTTGTGATTTGTCCTAAATAACAGAAAAAGAAGAAGCTTGGTGCTTAGCATGAGCAGCCATAGATATCATGACTGAAAAGACAAAGAAAAGAGCGCCACCTACAGAAAACCAAACTGCATCCACAAAAAAAATCAACCAAGTAAGACATCACCTCAATGTCATCTCGAGTATTGCCACTTAAACAATCCAGCTAATTTACAAATCAAGATAACCAGCTTTGTGAAAGGACCTGCAGTGCATGAATAGGAGTCTTTGGCCATTGACTCGACTCTGGAGGGGAGCAGCAACAGCATCGTAATATGAGGATTGGGACAGCGGCTCACTCTGCCGGCCCATCTGCTCACGTTTACACCCAGCTGGTAGATCAGGTGAAAGTGCTGGCTGCTGACATCTGATCAAATCAGCCACAGTCTGAGCCTGTCATTCTCGCTTCAGAGAGCACAACACAACACCCACGACCTGGGACGGAACACCGCAGAGCATCAGGGTACATGATATCATTTGTTATTGGCTGACTAACTGATTTTTGTTTTTCTTTTACTATTGGACATAACAAGGTGTTTCTAGTGGAGGAACTTCTTAAGAAAATTAGACATCAAAGAAGTGACAAATTATTTTTCTCCTACTGTAAATACAGGGAACATACAGCTAATTAGTAATTCTGTATGATAAAAAAACCAACCTGTTGTCAGAATGTAATATAATACATAACATACAAACAGAAAAGAAGACTTTTTTTTTTTAAATCACATTTTGACCTTTTTCCTAAAGACTTTCAATTAATTATTTTTACATTTTTGCTTTTAGGCATCTTCTCTCAGCAGAAAGTTACTAAACAAGTGAATATCACATTTTAGTGTGTATCTAAATCAGAAAAGTAGACGCATTGCATTTTAGAGATGAACTGGAGGTCTTAAAACCATAGCATTTTTTAAAAACAAATTCCTTACTTATAATCAACCACAAATACAGTCTCCATCTACTTTAAAATTTACTGCTCCAATTTTAGTTCACTGAGAAGTTATAATTATCCCCCAATGTGCGAAAACTCTGAAAGCGTGCAATTTTTTTTTGCCACAATCTATCTCACCCCACATCTTCAACTTAAAGCTGACAAGCGAGTTAAACACCCGTGACTAGTGGATGTGTTTTCACCTCGCAGGACTTTAAGGTGATTCATGCTAACTGCCAGCAGATTCACATTATATTTCAGACATATAGCATATAAATCGCTCGAGAAAATTCAAGTATACACAGATGTTTATGCAGTGCATGAAATTAGAAGCGGGGGGGAGGGGTGGGGTTTGATGGAGTACTACGACTGCAGGCTGCACCAGAAGAACATTAAAGGCCAGGAGTGAAGTGAAGTTAAGGAGCTGATAAAAATTTCCAAATTGGAAATTCACACAATCATTCGATCGTGAACACGAGACTGGAAAATCATATCAGGGAGGGCCATCAAAAAACCATTTAGGGCCTCAATTAAAGTTATTACCATTAAAGGATCTGCATCTTCAAAATGCCATGAAAAATTAATAATGATTGCCAATCAGAAAAAATGATCTCTCTTCTCTGAGGGATCAGAGCACATTAGAAATGAGATAGGGGACAGAGAGAGAAGGAGGAGAAAAAACTAAAAGATAAGGAAAGGATGAGGAAGAAAAAAATGAAAATCAGCCTAACCTGATCCCTTGCAGGCTTGTGTGTGGCCATATGCCGCTCAAGCTGAGTGCGGTAAGCAAACGTGTAGTTGCACAGGGGGCAGGCGAAGTTCTCCTCGTTCTTCTCATGGCGGTACTTGATGTGCTCCTTCAGCGATGTCAAACGCTTGTAGCCCCGGTCGCAGTAGGGGCAGGTCAACAGTTGGGCGAAGGCATCTGGCGTTCCAGGTGGCAGGTCTGCACAGGAGACAGCGGGAGGAGGGGGGGAGAGGAGGAGGAGGAAGGGGAAGGGAAAGCGGGCCAAAAGGTCAGCGAATCAATGGCAGCTAACGGGCGGGCTGCCCAGGAGTGGTATGGGAGTTATCTCTGCAATCTGCTCCACATGAGAGCCACAGTGTCAGGCTGGCATCCGCCACACCACGACCTCCTCCCGACTCCTCACACACACACACACAACAAACACAACACACACACTTACTGTTTTACAGACTGCACTTACACTCCTTGACACAGTATCAAACAGGCACATGACGCTGTATGTACACAAACACATACTCACAATCATAAGCTGACAAACTCACTGACACACACATATAAGTTCCCATACCGCCCTAATTGCTTTAAACAGCCTTCACTTTTTAATACCATTCCCACTGACACGTTCATCATGTCTGCAGCATGAATCATGAGCCCATTCCAATTCAACCCCCCTGTTTTTTTCCTCCAGGGAGCTTCAGAGGTGCACTATCTGATTTCAAGCCCCTGCCCAGCTGTTGCTTAAGACTGTAGGTAAACACCAAGGCATCCGGTGAATCTGTGGGACCAACAGCTGCCCGGCCGTGTCAGCGGGAAGAGCTGCTGCTCTGTCCACACTCCTTTTCTCTCTCTCTCTCTCTCTCTCTTTTTTTTTAACCTTTGCTGGTACAAGTGAGGTTAGCTGAGCAAGTATGCTCTGTTACTGCAACATTCACATTACAGGAGGAGGCCAAATTTAATATTGATCAAAGATATTTGGAATTTAATATTAAAGGCACAGAAAATCTCAATCTGTCAAGGGCTGGGTATCGTTGTATTGTCACTACTGGCGTCAGTACAGTACCTGAGAGAAAACATTATCAGCACCTTGTTTAAGTGCTTTAAAGCAAACACATTTTTCCTAATACAAATTACAAGCTTAATTACTAATTAATAAATGTAACCTGTCTCAACATAATTCTGGTATGACAGAGTTGGTTAGCATGATGCTAACACATTTCGGTTGATACTGAAAAAAGTATTGAGGTTCAATCATACCCAGCCCTAATGTAATAAATGTGTTGGAAACTGTCCTAATCTAACGCCTTAAATATCTTAAAGGTATCTTTTAGTGCTGACAGGATCCGTACCATTCTCCTCTGGACCAGTGGCCTCCGGTGTGCCCAGACGGGACAGCTCCTCTGGGGCTTCTGGGTAGATGATGGCGGTGTCGCCCCGCTGCAGGTACTCTGCAATGCTCACCACGTGACTGTCGCCATCGTCCAGCTTCCGCTTGGCGAAGAAGTCCTCGAACTCTGAAGTGCAATCGACGCTCTTGACTGAAGGGGAGGAAGAGAGAGAGGAAGAGAGACGGTGAAGGAGGAGACCAATCGAGAAAGAGGGGGAGGAATAAATTGGATTCATTTCTTCCCCTGAGAAATGTCTTACAGGAGGATATTGGGAACATCTTGGTGGAAATGCGATGAGGACAGCCACCCTAAAACATTACAGCCGTGCTTTGGGGAGAATACATCTAAATTACTGGGTTTGCTTGTCACGCCATGGCGGCTAAAATAAGAATTGTAACTTAATCCGGCCAAAAGTCAGAGATAAACGTGCTACCATGAGCTGCTGAGGAACAATGTGTAAGAACTCACTGAATTTCCTCATGACATAAAATCTGATTTTGAGTTTAGGACTGTGAAATAAAAAAGGAGAACTACTCAGACATATACATGCATACATACATACACAAACCTGGCTTAATCAGCAACAGAGTCACGTTTCTTTGTATCGACTTTCACATATAAGGTCAATCAAGAGACTGTGGCTTTTGTTGATTCTGTGTTGAACAGATTATCGGGGCCAAACCACAAACCAGCCCCCCAAAAAAAGAGAGAGAGAGAGAAAAAAAGAGAGACATGCTTTGCCATAGCTGAGCAGAATGTATCTTAAGCCAGCCAAAGTGCTGAGGCCACACAATGCGTTTTCTCAAATTATTTCCCAGTCCCTTCTCTTCAGGGAAACTCTTAAGCTGCAGTGTGGAGATAGCTGCCTCCAAAAACAAACCGGAGCTAAAAGAAATCAGCAGCCTTCATTAGTCAAGGGGATGGCCGACTTTCAAAACACACACACACACACACACACACACTGTTTACAACCTGAAGAAATTCTGGAGGCTGTTTGGCTATGCTGAACCAAAAACCAAGTGACGTCTCATCAGACTTCATCCCCTGTTAATTAGGCTTTTAGACTGTGAGCCAAGGTGAGGTTTAAAGAGCGATTTGTTAGGCTGTGATGACTTTGCGGTCCAATTTGCGAAAGGTCAAGGTAGTAGATATTTGGTTGTCAAAAATGGCACAGAAATGTCATCGGTGCCAATGGATCACTTTTGATAACTGTGATAGCATAATATACAGCACTCTCATTAGATGATTTTTTGTGGCTTTTGAAGATTGCTAAGCTAATTGTGAAAGACTGAATGTTGTGATAATAGTGGTTTTAAGCCGCTATTTAACATTGACTGATGATTGACCAGGGTGCGGCTTGGTGCAATCAGTTTCTGGACCGAAACCTAAAAACCTTCAGCGTAATGAAATGTTGTTTATTTTATGTTTTTACCAAGCTTCTCTGTCATTCGAACTGAATAAAATGAGCACTTATTCTTCATGTTGGTTCTTTTTGAGTCATTCTGGATGAGAAATATGAATGTAAAATGTTTCTTTAAGGAGAAACAACAGACTTTCCTTCCAGTAGAGGAGGAAATCACCTGGATCAAAGTGTGCTTTGGCACCGGGACGTGATCAAACTGCTCAAGTCTTTAAATGAAATCACATGTGATTTAGTGGCGGGGAGCTTCCACAGTGGTGCCACAGTATTGTTTCCAAAACTTCTTTAAGAAGTCAAAATGGAAAACATTTGCGGTGCTTGAATTTTCAGAAAAGAGAGAGAGAAAAAAGTGAAGAAGAAAACACCACGACGAGCAGAAAGTAATAGTAATTAAAGCTGAAGGAAGGGTTTTGAGGCAGGGCTGCGTGGCGTTCTGTGGGGTGAGTTTGGTTTACCATAACAGCGTCCGGGGCCAATTGTCAGGGTGGCCAGGATGATATCATGGAAGGGAGGGGTGTGTGGCTGCAAATCAACTTTGGTGGCTTAATGAAAAATGGCAGGTAGGGTTCGGTTCCACCAGGAGTCGGCAACGGGACACAAACGCACACTAAGACTCGCTTAGCTAACCAGGGAGGCTGAAAACAGCATGTGTAATCAAAGGCTCTAAAAATTAGAATCACTTTGACTGCCTAAACATACAGGGATTTGTCTTAGTAGTCATTGAGTCGGCAAGACAAGATTTCCCTTTAATTACCGCTCACAGTTTGTGTATGTAATTGTTTTGTTGTTGTTATTTTAAAGAAGCGGTTGCCAACTTGAAGCCACAAGATAAATCTGATCACAAGATGATTAATAGGATAAGAAAGCAGCAAAACCAAAACTGTCATTTTTTGCCTTCTTGTGAATTACTTTGAGTTTTAAAACTGACCTGCAAAAATAGACGTTTTGTGTGCATTAGACCTAGAATTTTGAAAAAGTAAAGTATTTAAAGATGTATTACATTGTTGGATTGCCAGGCTGCTTTGAACCTTGGGACACACCATGTTTGAGGTTTCTGCTGTATATATATATATATATGCTTTAATATATCTTTACTATATATCAGGCGAAATCCTTAATCATGGTTTACCCAAGTTCAAAGAGCTGGCAAAATCAACATGTATCTCTTTTAAATACTTTACTTTTTCAATAATTCTAGTTATAACAAACGTTATTTTGCAGGTCAGTTTTAATCAAATAATTAAAGAAGGAAAATATTGCAGTTTTTGGTTTGCTGCTTTCACTCTTATCCATTTTGGTGATCAGATTTATTTGTGGCTTCAAAAGTTTTGACCGCTTCTAAATAATCACAACTTACATACACAAAACTGGTGAGCTGGTAATTAAAGGGAAATCTCTGTTCTTGCGCTCAATGATTCTAAGACAATCCCTGTATGTTTTAGGCGTCAAGTGATTTATATTTTTAGAGCTTGATTACATCATGTGTTTTCAGCTCCCTGGTCTAGCAAGCGAGTCTTAGTGCGTTTGCTGTGGAAAACGAACCTATACTGCATTTTTCTTTAGCCCAAAGTTGTTTGCGCTCATTTTCTTCCCCCTCCTATATATGATTTATTCTGGCTTTCACTTGTTCATTGCCGACATTTGTAAGGTTAATATCTTCCCTCCTTCTCTCTTGTTGCTCAATTTTACTTACTTTCTGCTGTCGTGGTTGTTTTTCTTTTCCCTTTTTTTCTCTCTCTTTCTGAAAATTCAGCACGCAATGTTTCATTTGAACAGTCTTAAAAGTTTTGGAACATATGTGCACTGTGAGTTCCCCGCCACTACTTCACATGTGATTTTATTTAAAAGCTTTGAGCATGTTTGATCAGTATCAACTCCCCCTGGTGCCAAGCCACGTTTGATTTACAGTGATTTCCCTCCTTATCTGGAATGGGAAAGTTGTTTGTTTTCTTCTTAAGAAGATCTTTTACATTCATATTTTCTCATCGCAGTATACGTTCAAAATAGCTCACCCTGAAGCAATAATGCTTCATTTTTCAGTTCGAATGACGAGAGTGTTAAAATAAATTAAACAATTTCATTTACGATGAAGTTTTTTTATATGGTTGTCGTCTCCGAGCTGATTGACAGGCGCCTGTCCATCATCGTAATGTATATAGGCTCTATCT